ACCAGATGCCAAGGGACTGGTAGGGCACTTATCTAGCCCTAAATTCCATTCTAAACCCTGCAAAAACAAACAAAAGAACAATATATGACAGTCTAGCAAAACATATGTTCCTGGTCCCCAAACACATGGATGCTTGAACCTAAGATATTAAATAGGTAAACACAATATAAGTCAGTTATTCCCAAAGTGTGGTAAACCTGTGGGTAAAAAAGATGATTCAGGAGAACATAAGAAGCAAATATCTTAAATTTTGATGATTATATATTTAATTTAATATGTGTAGAAAAAAACAGGATCAAAATCCTGTAGTTCTACTGGTGTTATTGTTTAGCACAAGGCTAAATTTAGCCAAACAGAAAGTAAGTAATTTCAATAAAAATATTAAAACAATAGTATACTACAGCTCTGGGTATGCCTGAAAATGGTGTAAATAGTATGGAAATGAATAAAGTTGAGGAAACACCAGCACACCACTAGTATTGCTGTCACACCTACAGTATGATTTAAGTGTTGTGAAACTATAAGGTAAACAAAGAAAGAAAGTGTGGCAGTTTGGTTCATTGGTTACATTTGAGATCATATCACTAAGGAAATAACAGTTCCTTAACATTTTGTGCTTAGGCTTTTTATAATTAGTTATTCTATTCAATAATACTGTAATCAATGGGTATTTATTAATCATTCACTATGTACAAGGTCTTCTGATAGGTAGATTCTGGGAATATAGAAATCTTTTAAAGTCCATTGTCTTTCTTAAAAATTTTTTTTGAGGTAATGTTTATTTCAAAAAGTACCAGTTTCAGGGCTGGGGATTTAGCTCAGTGGTTCTGCTGCCTGCCTCACAAGCGCAAGGTCCCGAGTTCAATCCCCAGTACCAAAAAAAAAAAAAAAATTGAGTAAAAAGTAGCAGTTTCAACAAACATGTACTAATGAAAAATGAATAAAGTTTCATTATTATTAATGTTGATGATACAGAAAAATATCAAGAAGATACTCAGCAATCCCACTATTCAGACATAGACTGAAATGCTAATGGGTTATTCTCTTCATACTGTAGTTATTTTAAAATGAAAATATACAGATATTTTAATAGAGTTAGAGCCAGAGTTTATTTAGTACATTTAGTTTTGTATTGAGCTTTTCCTCCACTTAATATTGTTTCAATTTTTCCTGTATTACTACATATTTTAAAAAATATGATATGAAGGACTAAATACACTATTTTAAATGTTCACCTACCAATAGGCATGTGGCTGGGTTTTGATCAATAAAGTTTGGGCAGAAAAGATGTTCATGGCCTATAGGTCTGGTCCTTCTTGGTGAGTCCACACATGCTCTTTTCTTAACTATCAGCTGGATGCAAAGAATCCAGGGAGGACTGTGCCTCCCCAAGGGATGGTGGACCTACTAAAAGGAAAGAGTCCTACTATGATTTGGACGAGTGTCCCCCAAAGGTCCATAAAAGCAAAGGGTAGTGATATTGTTCCTAGGGTAGTGATATTGGGAAGTGTTGTGGACCTTAAAGAGGTGAGCCTAGTAGGTGGTCATGAGGTCAGGAAATTGGTCCTATAGGAGTGGGAGATTCCCTCCAAAGGGATTGTAAAACCCATCTTTTCCCTTTATTCTTTCCTGCTTCCTGTGTGAGTATTTGCTTCAACAATGCTCCTGGCAAGATGTATTGTCCTTTCCAGAGGCCCAAACTAATGGAGTCAGCTGATTTTTTTTGTGTTGAATTTTTTTTTTTCCAGTACTGGGGATTGAATTCAGGGCCTCACAAAATGTTAGGCAAACACTCTACTTCTGAGCTACATCCCCAGCCCTATGGTTACCTGATCTTGAACATCCAGAACTATGAATGAGATTAAATCTCTCTTTATTTCCCAAGTTGTCTGTATCATGTATTTTTGTTATAGGGACATGAAGCTGAGAAATACCCCTTCTGTAGTCTTTAACCAATCCACAGAACAAACGGGACTGACACGACACATTTTTATTAAGCCCCTGAAATTTAGGGGTTGTCATAGCAATTAGACTACCCAGATCCTTTTGCGTTCTTCCTTTAAGTCTTAAAACTTCCAAACCTCTATTTCCTTGTTTTGTAAAAGTTTTTCTTGGATCTTACTTTGATTTTTTTCACTTTATTTCAGATGCAGTTAAATATCTAATGTTTACCTAGGTTAGTGAATATACTTGGTTTCACTTATTGCCACTTCTCAAATCCAAATTAGGAGAGAACGTTGCTGCACATATCACCTAAGAAAATTTTCTACCAAGGATTTATCTAGTATGAGCCTTCTGGATCATTTCCTTCTCCACATCTATACAGTGTCCTAACATTCTACATCAAAAAGTCCATGAAAACCTATAATCTTCATGATGTACTCCAACCAGGGCACTGACACTATGCATTAGTGCTTTATCTGAGGAGATTATACTTCCAGGATCCCATGAATTGTCACCTTTAAGAGTGAAACATTAAAGGTTTTTGCTCCAGGAGTGACACAATTAAACTTATATTTTAGACAAATAATTCTGAAAGCGCTAAGAATTATGGTTTTAAGAAATAAAAAGTTAGAAGGTGGGAACATGATGAAGGAACCTGCAAGGGACCCTAGATTACAGCAGTGGGAACAGAAACGAAAAGGAACTATCAATGTGAGAGTGGTCATGACTTGACAACTAAATCTAGAAGTGAAAAGTAGAAAGCTATGGAAGATTTCTTAGAAATTTCTTGTCTAAGTGTCAAAGGCTAAATATCAGGAGCCTAGAATAGGTGATTTGCTGGGAAAATACATTAATTCCCCTCTGTAAATGTAGACCAAGGGGATATCCAAGAGGGAAATGTCCACCAGGTCTAATTTTCAGCAAACAATCTGTGCTAGAAGTTCAAGTATGGGAATTATTAGTTAGGAATCAAATCCCAGGCTTTGTACATGTTGGGCAAGTCCTCTACCACTGAGTTACAAGGGTGGGTATTATTAACATAGCTGAAACTTTATAAGTGAGGTAATTCAGGAAAAGATTTAAAACTGAAAAGAACTAAATCTAAATTCTAAGTGATGCTATTTTTTTGTTTGTTTTTCGCTTTAGAAATGATAGAATTAGTGAAAGAGCCTGAGATTGGGTCATCTGTAAAACAGAGAAAGGACTGGGACTTCAGAAGCCATAAGATGAAAAATTTTCTATAATAATTCTGTTACGTAGTTTAATCCATCCATCGTTTGATTTTTGGTACCTGGGATCAAACTCAGGACCTTGTGCTTGCAAGGCAGGTGTGGAGCTACTGAGTTTAATCCCTGGCCTAATCCACCCATTTTTTAAAGTTTTAAAAATATTTTCTATTTTTGTAAGTTAGGTCTTTTCTCAATTTTACTATTTTCAGAGCTCTCTTTTCACTTCCTGAAATATATTACACATACTTCTTTTTATATTCTGTGTCCCATAGCTGCAACTGCTAATGTTTTAATGCATTGTATTTTGTAGTTCATTGTGTCTATTGGCTCTACCCCATGAGGGCCCGGATGTTCAGTGATTTTCACTGCAAGCAACTCATTTTCAAGAGATAATAAGAACATAACATTTTTCAAAGTGTGAGGTGAAGGAGGTTCTTTAAAAACAGATCTATATTTGCTTTTCAGATGCCTTAACACATTATTGGTCTGGGGCCACTTTTAACTAAATTCTTGTTTTCAAGGTGTATCTATCTACTAGGTGGTATGGTTTCTTGTTGAGAACCAGCATGAAGGTGAATTTATGATTACTAACTTCTTAGATGATGATATAAGTAAGTGTGGGGAGAAGTTTCTCTTCAAGGAATAAGAATAGGTTTTTAGTTCTCTTTCATCTTAAGAATGAAGCCTTTTAGGGATGCTACTCTTTGTGATCCTATGAGGCTTCCTGTTTTGGGCAGACTCTGAATTACTATTTTTTGTTCTTAAACCCATAAACTTAGAATATAAAGTATAGATTATCTCAGGTTTGCCCAAAACCCTTAGGGTAAAAGCCAGCTTTTATGTTCTGCCTATCTTCCTTTACTTGATCCATGACATTAGAATTCTTTGTTTTCAGGTTATTCATGAATGCATTTTAATAATTTTTTAAAATGTATTTTTTACCTATCATTTTCAGTTCTTAGGTCAGCTGATTTTGGTATCTAAACTTCTGTTGTTCCATGGGAGATTTAATTTTCAAATAGTTTGTTCCATTTGATAATATAGTATATTATATGAAAATCTAAACAAAAGATGTTAAATTGTTGAGTAATTGTTTACTGTCTTACAGGTCACTCCATTTTTTAAAGTAATGTGAGTTGTCAGAGGAGCATTTAGAATTGTTTTACCGGTTATAAATATAACTACTTTACAGAGCCTAGAAGTAAAACAATAAATTATTTGGAACCATAATAGTTGGAAGAATCATCAAGTATGTCCATATTCTGACCTATTCTATCTACTGCTATTATTATAACCCTAGTCTGTGCTACCAGTCTTTCACCTGAATTATTAAAATAGCCACCGAACTAGTTTTTGCTTTTATCTTTATCTATCACCAAACTAGACCCAGAAATCAAAGGGTGTGATCCTATTTAGATGCAAGATCATGCTCCCCCTGCACTAAACCATCCAATGATTCTAAACAAAAGCCAGTCAGTACCAGGAGCCCAAGTTCTCCGTGCACTTTCTCAGCTGCAGCTCTTCTTCTATCCTTGTTCTTCCTCAGACAAGAAGGAACATTCCTGCCTCAGGGCCTCTGCATTTGCTGCTCCTTGTGGTAGAAGTCAGCTCCCCTCAGATATCCAGTAGGCTTGTTCCCTCTCTCTTCAGCTCTTGTTCAACTGTTAGCTTCTCAGCTTATTTATAATGGAAACCTTTCCTCGCTCTCATCACATTCCATATTACACTTCGCCACTTTATTCCTCTCCATAGCATTTCTCTCTTAATACAATATCTGTATAAATGAGTTAATCTCTGTGAACTCTTAGACTAATGGTTGACACATAAGTGATATACTAGTTTATTCATTAGTAAATATACAATAATTTACATATTTGGTTTATTGTCTGACTCCATGAATACAGGGAGTTTTACTCTTTTAGTTTACGGCCATATACTCAGTATCTAGAACAATGGCTAGCCCGTGAGACATGCTCAAAAAAACGTGTTAAATAAATAGAAATGTCCGTAAGTACACAATAAAATATCACAGAACAGAATTCAATTTGTTAAAAACAATTTTATATGGTTTGAGAAATGGAAGTTATCCCAAAAGACAAAGTCCTCAAAGATCACTCTCCAAAAAGAAATGTAATTAAAATTCAAATTTCAAAACTGTGCAATATGCCAAAAGGTACATTTATCTAAATGACAGTATTTTGAACTTCCCTGAAGATCAGCACTCTTGGCTTCCAACTCCCTGGTGTGGCTCTCCAAATAGTCATTTAATCTAGAGCCATATATTCAAATAAAAGAGAAAATGCACTTATTCGCTGTTCAGTTTTCTAGAAAGTAACTAAAGAACAAAATGTATTTCCAACATCAGCAAGATGCGGTATAGCATAGATAGAAAACAAAAAGGTTTGGAATTGACAGATAACTAGTTCCTGTTCACCCTCTAATTCATGGATTATTTGGAATATCCTCTGCATAATCTCCCTGTAATCTGTCTCTAGATTTATTTGTATTCAACTTTATCTCCCCTGAAATGTCTAAAAAGGCTGGTAGGAATAGTTCACTACTACATAATAACCCAATCTTATTTAAGCTCATCAAAAACCTCCAGAAGATGACTACTTCTTTGTTCTTCCCATCATGCCTTATAGGGTCTAGATCTCACCTTGGACAAGCACAAGACTGCCGCTTTCCCTTTGTTTCCTTTCTCTAGGCCTAACATCTTCATTTCCCTCCAGAGGTCTTGTTTTTCCAGTAATGCTCAATGTGTCTAGCCATATCTGTTTCTCTCTGGCCCTTTAACTGACATAGTTTCTTTCCATTCCACCCACTGCACAAAAGTTATGTTCTAAGAGATTTTGAGTATTATCAAGGCAGAGGTTAGTGTGTCTAGTAGGTATTAGAGATTCTCATGTTAGACTGTGAGGGTCTAGGCATAGCTGGTAAACAAGATCTTTGGAGGATGTGATGATAAACCGACAGCTGTTTGAAACTGTCTGCCCACTGATGCAGAAGTTTATATGCACAAAACGTAATGGAGAGGTTTAGATGCACAACTGTAGTCCAAATTTCAGTTTTGAAGACTTTCTGATCATTTAACCATTCTGCTTAGAACTTGAGTCTTTCTTCTGTGAATTTGTGAAGGCAAATTTGAGTCTAGCCACATCTCCCATTTTATGTGTGACAAGGTAGGTTCTCTGACCCTTTATTGAGGAAACTCTTTCCATTCCACTCTTTCCTCAATGCTATGGTTGAAGAGATTATTAATATAACAAGAAACAGGCTAATTTGTCATGTAGGTAACTGGTTCTCACATTAAAGACCATGCAGTTCTGGGCAATGCATAATCCCTTCAGTGAGTAGACACTTTGGAACAGCTATCCGTGTATTATTTAGGAATTACTGTCCTCATCTTGATCAGATAAGCTGTTGAACAGTGCACTCCTTTCCCAGCCCTTACATAAGGGTAAAAAAACCCACTTATTGTCTGTAAAATATTTCTATAAAACATTAAGATATGCCTTTTTCTTTTTACATGTTACTAGAGATTAAACCCAGAGCATTGTGCATGCCAGTCAAATGCTGTACCACTGACATCTTCAGGCTTTTTAAGAGACAATCTCACTAAACTGCAATCTTTCTGCCTTAGCCTCTGAGTTGCTGGGATTACAGGTATGGGCCACCACACCCAGTTTAAATCTTAATTATTAAAAGAATGCTTCTCAGCTTCTCTGTTTAAACCAGTTAGCACATAAAATATACTTTCACCTAGTCACTCTTTCAAGTACTGAGCAGGCACTGTCAGCATCCTGGGACTACAATGCCAAATGAGAACATGGTCCTTGCCTTTAAGAAACTTGTCTAATGGAGGTGACGACTGAACAAAGAATTACAAAGTAGGAGTCTCTATGCTCTGAGAGAAAACTTACAAGATGCTCTGACAGCATGAATCAGGGACTCCCAACCTGGCAAGTGGTTGGGAATTGAAGAGAGTCAAAGATTTCTGAAATAATTGGTGTATAAATTGAAATTTGAAGAATTGTTAGGAGTTTGGAGGGAAAGTGTTGGTGTAGAAACTATCAAGTATCACAGGGAAGGTCTGTAAGTGAGAAAGAACTTGACCTGGTCCAGGAAAGAAGAGAAATAAACAGGCTCTAGCCTAAGTTTGAAAAGAGGAGAAAATCGACCAGCTAAGAGGCTTGGAGATGAGCAGAGACAAGCTCACAAGCCTTTGTAATACAAATGGAGGAGTTTGGGCTTGATTCTAACAGCAAGGGAAAGCTGTTGAAGAGGTTTCAAGCAAGAGTGGTAAGAGATAAAAATGTTTCAATCACCTCTTAAGTAAACGGTTAAATCAGAAGAGCACTCTGAATTATGGGGGTCCAAAAACAGTGCTGAATTATGAAGAGGTCATGTTCTACAGTGTGAAATCTAAGAGAGCTTTTAAATAAGCATTTTTGCCTTCAAAACACTGTAGGAGACCATTAGCCTCATCAAATGGAAGCCCTTGACAACAGTCTTTTATTCTAGATGAGTACAGAATTATCCATTAAGCTTATGATGGAAATAGTAATCTATGTCAGGAAAAAAAAAGTACAAAGACAGAGTTTGACTTCATAGTATTTTACATGAGAATACAACTTTAAAGTCTTAATCATATATTAACATCATAGATCAACCTCAAGATTTCAGTAATGGAAGGGATGTTAAAGATCATTTGCCTTAACATCTTTTTATAGATGAAGACATGTTACTTCTTTACAAGACAATCAGAAATAAGCAATTATTTAAGATCTGGATTCTTTTGTCAGGATTTTGGTGTTAATCATAACATTAACTGACTTTTCACAATAAATGAAAAACAAGCATTTCTACCCAGATGCTTAATAATTGAGTTTATTGGCCTCCAAAACAGCTTCCAATTGTCCCTGATTGTTAGTATTCACATCCTTGTGTAGTCCCCTCACTCCCCAATACTGTACTGATCTGTGGGTTTGAGCTCTCCTTCCCTCTTCCCTTCAATCTTTCACACAGGAAGAAGTCAGCCTGCTGACTAAGACTATCCTGATGATGGACTCACTCTGCTGCCTATCTTTATGGGCCTATGGAGAAGGCTGTGTGATTAGGAATTGAAGTATTCCACCAACCACCAAGGAGAAACTGAGGGCTTCTTGTTGGTAATGTGAATAACTTAGGAAACAAATTCTCCAGGCCCCGCTGAGCTACAATGAGATGACTATAGCCCTAATGAAAGCCTGGGAAGAATCTCATGAGAAACCTTTAGCCAGAAATGCAACTCCTCCATTCCTGACCCTCAAACTGTGTGAAATAACATAGGTTTGTTGTTTCAAAGTGCTACATTTTGGTGTAATTTGTCACGCAGTAAGAGAAAAAACATGACACGATATACTGACACACTACATTTGTTGATGTCTACATAATTATTTTCAAAACAGTAAAATACATCTTGACTTTAGGCTACAACTAGTGGTCTTCTTTGAAAAGAGATGATTAAATGGTTTACAGAATGGGTAATAGGATATCGAACAGTAATTTGTAAGTTGCTGATTCTAATGTTAACTTGGCAATCAGACATTGTTAAAATTGAAATCTGTCTACAAATTGCAATTGGCTATGACTGTACATTCTCATTTTAGTAAAAAAAAAAATCTCAATACAAGAATATGAATTTAAATTAAAGCTATCAGATTCTTAGTTCTGAGTAGCCTTGTAGGATATAACAGGGAAACAAGACCTGTGTAATTAAATGAAACCTACAGTGTTATCCTTTGAAGGACATTCAGATAAACAGGTAGGCAAGAATAGCAGTTGAAGCAGCACTGACTTCTTTTTAAGTTTTATCTTCTCTTTGTAGTCTTGATGCAATTATTCACTCGGCATTCCATCAAAAAATATTGAGCCTTTTCTACAACCCAGACATAGAGTAATAAACTAGATAGGGAAGTCTCCAGCCTCTTGGGGTCCAAAAAAATCAAGCAATTACAACACAGTAGTAATTATCAGGGAAGGAAAAGTAGAGGGTGCAGTGAAGTACCAGGCGTGGTACCTATCCCAGTACTGGAGTGGGAAGGGATATGGGAGAGAATTCAGAAAAAACTTTTTGTAGCTGACATCTAAGTTTAATGTTAAGGTGTCACAAGATACTTCAGGCAAAAAGAACTCCCTGACGAAGGGCCAAAGGCAGGCGAGTTACATTTGGAAGCTCAGATGTTCAGGTTGGCTGCCACATACTGAAGGCAGGCATGGTGAGAACCCCAGGGAAATGCAGCCCAAAGATGGGCACAATTCCTTTTCAGCAGAGTTGACATCGGGAAGAATTCCAAAAAAAGGAACACATAGGCTTTGAGGGTTTGCATCGTATCTGAGAATGTTTACTTATACAACAGATAATATCAGGTGATTATCATCAAAAAGATTACATATGCAGTGGCAACAACTGAGGTTAGATGAAATAAATGTTAAGCACCTTGTACATGCTAGGTGGTCAGAAAATTTCCTCTCTCCTGGCTACCTTGCTTTCAAGGCTGTGGTGGCCTCTGAACTGAAAGCCCCATGTCATATGTGACTCCATATCTGGTGGCATCCAGTGCACTTCTCTTGGCCATCTCCTATGTCCCTCCCACTAGGTTCTAGTCTCTACTCTCTTCCTCAGTGAACACTATCCTAGGTTAGACATATCAGAAGGATCCCTGCCTAACAATCCCTGTCATACAATAGTAGCTATAGCATTCATAAAACAAGAATTATATCCATACACATGGAGACTTAGTCCATCACACCATCTGTACTTTATATTTGCATATATGTACCTGGCCTCAATTATTTCTTTTGATAATACTGTTAAGTGCTATAATCACTATTTGGCAGATGACAGCCCTAGTTCAGACAGCTTACGTGTCAGTTGCCCTGATCCAAACTTTAAACATAGCATCTTATTTTCTAAAGAGTTCTGTCAACTCTACAAAGGCTGCCACCATGCTAATATTGCAAAAGGCACATTTTAAGATATACTTTCAGTTTCTTTTAAACATTACTAGAATTCAGAGAAACATGCTTTTACAAATACATACTCATCCATTAATTTCTAATGTTGTGGCCTCTTACACATATTTCAAGGTTCTGTGTGCAAAACTAAAGGTGGGGGAGGGTGGCCGAATCGTCTCTGAATATTCTACCAAAAAACCACTCCCATCACTTTAGGGTTAAGAACCACCCTCCATTTGCATACCTCCCCCAGCTATGCTCATAACAGTAAAAATTAAGCTTCCTATATTCCTAATAATGAAAACCTGCCTCTTCTGACTGTGAATATCAGTGCACAAATGTAAGCTTTCATTACTCAGGTGGATTTAAATAACCAGGTTTTAACTGCTTTAAAGTAAAAAACTTGCCAATATGATGCAATACTGGGAAAAACTTGACCATCCTAAAACTTAGAATAAAACTGTAAACATTCTGTTTAACTTAGTTTAGAATATGGTAATGTAAGTACACACACTCTTTGTTAGGAGGTAATGGGCACAATATTGGGGGGAGGGGCACCTGGTCAAGCATTTGGCACATCCTTTCCCAAGTGAGATCTCACAAGAAGAAGAGCAATCTCCTGAAAGTAGGAAAAAATCAGGTCTGAGGGTAGAAAGGATGGGGGAGTGAGTAACAAGCCGAAATCCCAGTTCCTCTGAGTAGAAACGTATCAGTTCACGAACAAGAATCATACTGCCTATTAGCATGAGGCACTGGCTTTTTTCTGAATACCTCAAGAGAAAGGGCAACGGGCTTCCCAAGTGAGCTCCTCTAGTCCACTAATATTTGCACATCTCACCTGGGCCTTTCCGTTACAAATCCACCTCCCTAAGGAACAGTGCGAAAAACAGGATCAATAATAATAAAAAATCCTTCCAGCTATGTATCAGCCACGTGGAGCTACTGCGGCGGCGGCGGCGGCGGCGGCGGCAGCCCTGACTTCCTGGTTTGCTTCCTGCAAGCCTGTCGGCGGGGTCTCGGGCAGCGGGTGTCAGGAGGGGACTTGCAGACGGGAGCCGCGGCATCCTGGAGGGCACAGGCCTTAAAGACAGAGCGGCGGTCCATAATTACCATAAAAGTTTGGGAATCGAGAAGCTTTAAGGAGCTGAGCTGCAGGGCAAATGCTTAAGTGTTAAGTTAGTTACAAGCTAACAGGGACCTCGAAGGGGGATCGTGGGGTCGGCGGCGGAGAGAGGGGAATGCAGATCACGAAGGGGCAGGGGGAGCGCGGAAGCTCGCGCGGCGAGGCGTCCGGTGGGCCGGGGCTCTGAGGAGGCCGCCGGACTGGAAGGGGGCAGCGGGCCGGGGAGGGGCGCAGGAAGAGCCCGGGGAGGTAGAGCGAGGGGAGTTCCGGGGCTGGAGCGGGAGAAGCAGGCAGCGGAGAGGGCGGCAGCTGGAGCGGCAGGGGTGGGGGAGAGGGAGAGGAGGTGGAGGAGGTGGAGGAGGAGGAGGAGGAGAGCCGGAGGGGGAAGGAGGGAGGGGAGAGCCGTGGCGGCGGCTGCGCCGGGCTGTGTGTCTCTCGCCGCCGGAGGAAGATGAGGCTGAAGATTGGGTTCATCTTACGCAGTTTGCTGGTGGTGGGAAGCTTCCTGGGGCTCGTGGTCCTCTGGTCTTCCCTCTCCGCACGGCAGGACGACCCGAGCCCGCTGAGCAGGATGAGGGTGAGTGACCCGCCCGGCCCCCTCCGGTGGCGGCGCCCGGCAACTTGTTTTGTTTGCGCGCGCGTGTGGCGGGAGAGGGGGGCGGCGGGGTCGTGGCGCGGCGTGGGCGCCGCAGCTCCGCAGGTGGTGCTGGCGCGGCGCTGGCCGACCGGGGGCGCCGAGCCCCGCAAACCCAGTCCGCCCTGCCCGCCGCCGGCCCGCCCCCCCGGCCGCCCCTTCCTTCCGCGCTTCCCCGCCCCAGGCTCCGCGGCGGCGGCGGCGGCGGCGGCGGCTCTGGCGGACGCTCGCACGCACGGAAAGCGAGGGGCGCGGGCTCGGGGGCCGTGGCTGTTCCTCAGCGTCAGGCTCTGCGGGGCTGCGAGCACAGCGGGCGCGGCTGGGGGCCGCGGGGTGGGTCCAGGCTGCGGCCTGTGGCGCGCGCAGGCCTGAAGGAAGCTAGATGCCGCCCTTACCGCCGCTGTTCGGTGGGCCTGGCTCGGGGTCCAGCCTCCCCTCCTGCCCGCCCGGGGTGCTCGCAGCCCGGGCTCCCCCGTCCGCCCGCCCGCCGGCCGGCCGGGGTGTGAGAGGTAGACGGCGCCCCGCCCCCGGCTCCTTCGGCCCAAGCGCGCGCACCGCCTCCCCCTCCGCTTTGGTGGAGCTCGGTGCGAGGTGCGGCGAGGCCTCGCCCCGACCGGCTGTTCGCTCGCTTCCGCCGGCCAGGGAGGGGCGCCCGCCTCCACCCCTGCGCCCGGAAAGCCCCTCTCCGCCGGCGGCTCGCGGTGCTGCCTCGGGGACCCGGCCGGTTCATCTCCCGGGCCGCGGCGGTCGGAGAACTAACTTGTGCCTGCCCGCTCAGCCCGACTCCGAGAGCGCCCGGGCGCGGAGCTCCGCTGGGACGCATTTGTCTGCTGCCGAGGCGCGAGTGTTAGCTGTGACACTGCCTGGCTTTGGAGGGTTTAGTCGGGCGCCTCGCAACATTAGTTACCGCTAGCCGCGACTGCTACGGCTGCACCGGCTGCACGGACCCCGCAGTTGGCGGGGCGAACCAGCCTCGTCCCCTGGCCAGAGCCGCTGACCCTGGGATGGATCCCTCCTTATTCCTGAGCCTGGACCCCCACCCCTCAAGGGTGGCTGCGAGTGGAGGAGGTGTGAGGAGCTCAGTGTCCTGGAGAGGTTGAGAAGCCCCCGGAGGAGTCTGTAGTAAAGTGCCTTTTGCATATATGATCAGCATTGCATACATGTGATCTTCTTTATTAACTTTTCTCCCGGAAAGTTAACATCAGGAAGTTGGATGAAGAGGGTTGTGGCATCTTTTCAACTGTAACAATCCTAGGAGGAGGTCCTCTGAAGAGTTCTTGGCGGTGTCACAAGTTGACCTGTACATTTGAGTATTTAAAAATCTACTGTAATGGAGTCCATTTGTAATATCTACAATGGATTTCCATTTAAGTCAACTAAATTGATGCCAAAAAAAGGTCAAATTTTCCTTTTCAGTGTGTTTGCAGTTTTAAACATCTCAGTCCTCAATGGAATGATGATGACCTTTAATAACTTTATTCTCGAAATAATTTATTGACAGGGAAATGGAATATCGCAGTTGTCTGAAGATGCTTGGTTTTAGACATCAGCTGGTCTTTTACATAGTGGTAAAGATGTTAGCCCCCATTTTCTGGGAGAGGAATTGAAAATCATAAAACTAGCCCCGTTCAGGATATCCAGTGGTGCTGTTGTTGTTTTTTTGTTTTGTTTTGTTTTGTTTTTGAGACAGTGTCTCACTATGTAGTTTAGGCTGGCCATGAACTTGCTATGTAGCTCAGGCGGGCCTTGAAATCACAACAATCCTCCTGCCTCAGCCTCCTGAGTGCTGGGATTACAGGTGTACACTACCATGCCTGGCTCTGATAGGTTTTAAAGAGGTGGTGGAATATCGTGTCACTTCAAGACACTTGAAATATTTTGTTAGTGCTGATTTGTAATAAGCTTTATAGCCTTAACTGTGAGGTAGTGATGTCTTATTTTGGTTAAACTTACTTGATAAAGTTTGTCAGCAGTATAATTTCTGTCATTTGCCAAAGACAAACCTTTAAGATTTACCAACATGGCTAACTTTGAAAGAATGCGTAGGTATCAGGAGAGCAAAGGCCTTTTTGTAAGGTTTCTAGGCAAATAGTAATCCAAGCAATTTAAAGTGGAGCGTGTAAATCCTAAGTGTAAATAAGGGACTGTTTCCTTCCTTTAATAAACGCTAACCTAAGAGATTCTGAGATCCAGCTCTAGAATTTCATCTCCTTTAGGAAAGATTCTGACCAAATACTCAGATGACTAACTCCTGAGTTTCCCCTCTATCATGTGGTTCATTTACTTTGGTTTTGATTGCACACACTTTCATCCATTGTGAAAATCCTGCTTCTCTCTGTTTTTTTTGGTACCGGGGATTGAACTCAGGAACCACTGAGCTAAATCCCTGGGACCCTGCTTTTCTTTAATGCTGATCCACACATAAACTTCCTAGGATCCCTTTAAATGGCCTGAGATAGACTCGAACAATCCAAATGCAGGTTCTGCCTCTAGTTTGAAGAATTTTCAGGAGGCTTGAAATTAGGGCTCTATCTGTGCCACTTTTTGTTTTGTACCCAGTATTCTAGATACTAAAGTCTTACACCATGGTCCTTTTTTTTTTTTTCCCATCCTGGGGATTGAACTCGGGACCTTGCACTTGCAAGGCAGGCGGTGGAACCACTGAGCTAAATCCCCAGGCCCCCTGGTCCTTCTATACTGGACTATTTGTTTTAGATCTGCCCATGTGTGAAATCAAGACAATAGAAACTTGTTTCTTGTCACACATCTGTGTCTGAATCTCTTTGCCTTTTCTTGAGGTGAATGATGGGGAAAATAACCTTACTGTTCCAATGGTGTTCTGTTGTGTGACTTTATTCAGTAACTTATCCGAACACTTTTGAATGCCTGTTGTGTGTCAGGTATGGTGCTAATTGTTAAGGAAACACTCTTTGTCCTGAACCTACTGGATCTTGCAGCCTAGTGAGAGAAATACACCTTATCAAAGTTACACAAATACATAAATAAAAATTGTGCTGTGTGCTGTGAAGGGAAACCATGGGAGGGGGGCAAGAAAACGGAGGTATGTACTTGATCAGAAAGAATCTCACCTGAAGACGTGACTTTTGAGTTGAAATCTGAAAATCAGAAGAGTAGTTGTTGTTCTGGAAGTGGGAGGAGTAGTGTGTGCACAGATCCTGAGGCTGGAGGACTGAGGGAAAGGAGAAGTGAGGGGCTGGAAGAAGACCAATGCAGTTGGAACATAGAGAAGAAGGGAAGTGGAATGAGTCTTGTAGATAGCTAAGGATTTAGATCTTAAGCACAATGGGAAGCCATTGAAGGATTTTTAGTAGAGGCATGATCATGTTTGTGTTTTGAAAAGGTCACTCGAGCTGCCTGCAAAAAGTATGTATTAACTGTGTGAGGTGGTAATATCTTGAAGCTTTTTGGAATCTAGATAGTAGGAGTCTTTCGGAGATTATACTAGTTCTAATATGGTACGATAGTTTTAATAGTTTGGGTGACACTTGCCATTGCTTGGTTCCGCCTGGTGGAAAATAAACTGATTCGAATTAACTAAAGATTCAAAGGTGATTGAATGTGGGATGTCTAGAAGATTATTTGTTACATTATGAAAAGTTATGAAAACAACATTTATACATCCTTTTGTAATTATGGTTAATGAAAAGGCTTTTTAGAGGCTTTAGCCTCTGAATGTCTTAAGGTCACTATTTTTAAAGACCATCTGTTTAGACTTACAAAGTGCAGACAATCCTTAAATTATGTGTGTTTCAGACTGAACACCATTTTCCCCAGGTTTTATTCCTGTGAGAGGGTTTAAAGTTCAGTTCTAAGCTCTGAAAATAAAGGTTTGTAATGGAAATGTAGATGAATCTTTGCTGCAGTGGTCCTATTAAAACATCCTGTACTGGTGAGATCTATAGGCCAGTGATCCTCTGTATGCACACATGTTACTTTGGCCAAAGCATGAATGCCATGTAAATTCAGGGCATACCTGGTAGGACTAATTCAGCACCTACTCCTAGGCCAAGAAATTTTATGTGATAAGCAAGCTGCCAGGTTTGGAAGGAATATAGCTTTAATGAGGTATACTGGCCGGTTGACAGCACTCTCACAGGCAAGTTCCAGCTTCTCAGAATCATTTTATCTCAGTGATAAATTGGTTGTAACTTGACGCATTCTGTTCTTGACCATGAGAGTTTGTTTCAAATGGCAACTCTATTTGTAGGATTAGGGACAGAGCTGTCACTTAACAAAAGAGTGAAGTCTCAAGTGGTCCTCGTTCTCTAGTTCCCTAGGCTCTCTGCCTCTGTAGGATTTTGGTTTTCTTTGCCAGTTCCCAGCCTCCCACCACAGCCGTATCATTAATCATCATCATCATCAAAAATCCCACATCACTAACTCTTAAGAAATTTGGTTTTATAGACCTCCTAAAATTAATGCAAACTGTTGAAGGCATGTACATTTTCTTCTGGGTTGAGAATCTGAAGCTTTCCTGTTTCCTAAATCAAACAAGGCTTTGACCATCATCTGGGCCCTTTGGAGGCAGAGTTCACATGTCCTCCTCATAGAGTATCTCTTCTCTCTTTGGTGCTGTGTTTGCAGAAGGTACATACTAAATTTTTTGTCAAACATAAGGAACATCTGTTTATGTCCACCCCCCATCAATCTAGACACGGATAATGTTTGGTAGATTACTAAGAATTGCTGTATTTGTTCATTCTGTGGGTAGGTATCCTATCCAGTGGCCTAAGTAAGGTTGGTTATGGGCTGTTCCCTCATATCTCCCCTCAGTAAGACCCCTTAGAGAATACTGAGAATATCTGATATAAAAGTCCCTGCTCTCAGGCCGGGGATTTAGCTCAGTGGTTCCGCCGCCTGCCTGGCAAGCACAAGGTCCCTAGTTTCATCACCGGTGCCCCCCCCCCCCGAAAATGTCGCTGCTTTCAAGGGCTCACTTTCTACTTGGGGGGAGGTGCTATTCTTTTAACCAGTAGCAATATAAAGAAATAATATGAGAGGGCTGGAGGTTTAGCTCAGTGGCGCCAGCACCTGCCTTTCAAGCACAAGGTCCTGAGTTCCATCCCCACT